TCTGAATTGACTTTATCTAAAAGGGGTCTATATGGGCCCTCAAACAGCAGTGCAGCACTTGTATCTTAATTATTTTTTTTTTTTTTTTTTATAGTATTTATAATTTCTCCAGATAGTATCAAACTTATGGTGAAAGCTACGGTACTAAAAAAAAAAGAAAAGAAAATTGTAATGAAAAACTAAATTAGTTTTTTTTTTTACTTTAATTTAGGCTTGTCCCAGGTAACGCTAAAAAAGTGGTATACCCTGGAGAAAAAAGGTACCCAAATCGATAAAAAAAATTTTAACGTGTAAATGTTTATGTTAAAATTAAAGAGGGAAGACCAAAGTATTTTTTGAATATTTTTTCAGATTTTTAATCCTTCCTATAAATTTTAAAATTTTTTTTAAAAATTCGTTTTTCTTGAATAAAAAAAACTAGTAAATTCGATTTATCGGCCATTTCTGGCCGAATTTGTAAACAAAAAAAAAAAAAAAAAAAAATTAGTTCAAAAATCGATTAAAATTCAATTACACCTTTTTTTTTTTTTATCTTAGGAAATTTAGAATGATTAAAGTATACTTAATGTAATTTGAAAGAAACATTACTTACTTTTTTAGCAGAAAATTTTTTATTTCCAACCATGGTGATTGAAGGGTGTTAATTGATGGGTGTCAATATATTGACAACTTACGTCAAGGGAATTTATCATACGGTAGCGCAGAAGTGATGTAATTCGTTCTAATTTTAAGTGAACCTAGTTAGTAAATTAAAAAAAAAAAAACTTTTTTTTTTTTTTTTTAACCTTACGTTTGAAGAAAAATTTCTGCACTGAAAATAACATTTAAATTGTGAAAAAAATCAAATTTTACAAGTAAAAATGAAACAGTAACAACATTTTTTTTTAAATTGAGTTATACATATTTTATTTATTAACAAAATTAATATTGAAATGCTATGCAATCGATTTCAAATTTTGCTTTGTTGTTAACTGAATGAATGCAAAGTAATTTCTGAAGTAAAAAAAACTTGCTTCTATCTAGGGAAACAACTCTACCTCACGTGACGTTATTTCAAAGTTGTGCATCCATACTTTCGTTGGAGACGATTTTAAATACAATTTTGGAATATTAAAAAATTATTTTAAAAATATTCACGGTTGTCAGATTTTAATAAGCTTTCAAATTTATGATCTATAAGAAGTAGAGAACATAATGTCATTTCCATAAGGCTTTATAAAGAAACTTAATTTTAAAATATATAACAACATTTTGTCATATTGTGTATTTAAAATAGAAAAAAAAAAAAAATTATTGTAAAAATTCATTTTTCATCAAAATTTTTTTTTTTTTTTCAGATAAGAATTACCTTAGTATATGTTATTCAGAAAAGTCATAAAAAGTTTTTTAAATTAAATATTGTCTCAGTTTTTATTGGGTTTTTTTATTTTTTACAATTGAGTTAAAAGTTTGGACAATTTTGCAAAATTTTTTTTTTACCAAAAAAAAAAAAAAAAAAAAAAAAAATCGATGATTTAGAATCTTCAGAGTCTTGTGCATTTAATTGAAAAAAAAAAATATCAGGCTTTGAAAATTAATTTTTGAAGTTTTCATAAAATTAAGTTCGGGGGGGTGTAACAGATATAAAAAAAAATTTTTATATCATGACTTTCAAAAAGACAAACATTTCTAAAATAATTTCATTCATTTGTGAATAAGTTCTGAAAGTTTCATTAAAATCCAACAAGTACTTGATTTTTGCAAGATTTTCCAAATCAATGTGTTTTTTGCAACTGAAAACAGTGAAAAACAAGTAATGTTAATATGACCTAATAAAAAAAAAAAAAAAAAAAAAAAAGATTTTCAACCTAAATTTAAAAAATGCTGCAAATTAAAAAAAAAATTTTTTTAAAATAATTAAAAAATACCTTGGTCTTCCCTCTTTAATTTTAACAAACATTTACACCTTACATTTTTTTCTTTCAATTTGGGGACCTTTTTTCTCCAGGGTATACCACTTTTTTAGCGTTACCTGGGACATGCCTACTTTAATTATTACAAGGTACTAATTAAGCAAGTCCACTTAAAAAAATAAAAATAAAATAAAAATATGTCCATTCTGTCCTTCTGTATGAGAACTCGAAATATGACTTCAGCTGTTAGTAATTTAAACGTCATCAATTTAGCACTTGTCAATCGCCGGCGATATTAAGATCGGCTCCCTTTTAGTTTTATTTTAATTAAACAACATTTTTCTACAAAGAAAGAAAGTAAAAGTTTCTTTCAAAATATTTTAAGTAAACTTTAAGTTTTCTAATTTTCTTTTAATAAATTTTGAAAAACGTATTTTTAAACGCTGATACCGAGTTTTTGTTCGATATTTCGTAAACAAGATTTTTAACTAAAATTTAGGACATGCTAAGAATGATTAAAAAATTTTAAAAAATACTTTAGTGTTTCTTCTCAATAATGAAATAACACGAATAAACAAAACATGATAATAAAAATAACATGATAAAAAAGGACGCCAAAAATTGTTTTTATCAAGTTTGGCATCTTTTTTAAAAATCTCAACAAGGTTTTCTGTAAAAAATTTAAATAAATTTCCCCCAAATGTTTTGATTGCGCGACGGAAGTGACCTGCAGTTACACAAATCCGGTAATGGCGGACGAATGACCGCGACTTAGTCCGAATTTTTCTTGTCAATAACTCCAAAAAAACTGTAGGTTTTATTATAATTTGTTATTTCGAGTTCAGCATGTACATTTACACGGAAATATGACGAGTTTGGAAAATTTCAATAGTTATTTAGAGAGGATTAAAAAAGCAAATTTACCGTAAGATTTTCTAGAAGAATTTCATTTGTGATTGTCCTGAAAATTTCATTAAAATCAGACAATTATTTGATTTTTGCAGAAAATCCCAAATCAATGTCTTTCAACGCTAAAATCTAGAGGCACCCCGGATTTTAAAAAAAAATTTCCGACGTAAAAAAGTATGTATATAAAACTTAATTAAAAATCCTTTGACTTTCCTCTTAAAGATATTTGCTTTTTAAGCCCAGCGCTAAAAGTATTTTTTAATAGAAATTTATGGAATCGTATTTAGATGTAGATTTACATGTTTAATTCGAAAAAAAATTGATAAAATCTACCGTTTTGGAGTTATCGACAATAAAAGTTCGTACTCAGTCGCGTTCAGCCATCCGCCATACTGACTACATTCACTGCAGAATATTTTGCGCGTGTCTAAATTACTGCGCACTTTTCTGTAGAAAAGCAATAAGTGTGTGTGTGTTTTTAAGGGTTAAATTAAAAGAAACGAATTAAATAAAACTATTTTTTTTGAGTTAAAGATATATATATAAAAAAACAAACATTATTGCGCAAACTTTATAAAAGAGCATGAATATTTACAAAGTAAAAAAAAAAATGCTAAAAAGGAAATAAATACTTAATGCGCATTAATTATTTCTTGTCTCTTTTTTTATTTCGTAAATTTATTTTTTGTAAATAATCATGTTCATTACGAAGTTCGTGCGTGTGAACTTTGTAAAAAGCATGATTATTTACCAAAAAATCTACAAAGGAGCATTTTTTTTTTTATTTTGTAACTAATCATGCTCTTTACAAAGTTTGCACAATAATTATTTGCTTTATTTTATTATTCAATTTGTTTTAATTTAAAACGTTTGTTTAAAAATAAAATTATTTTGAACTTTACTTAAGCAATCAGTTTTTTTAGGAATCAAATATTTTTTTGTTCTATAGACTGATTTTTTTTAATAAATATTTGATCTTATAAAATAATTACACAAGATTAAATATTTTAAGAAAATTTCGACAAAAGAAAATACTACTATATGATAAAAAAAAATATAACCTGGAGAAAACTGAAGACATTGAAATTGAATTGATTGACTCCACTTGCCACTTTAAAAATCATGTCAAAAGATTCTATTTTATCCAAAGTAGGTGACGGCACAATCTCCAAATTTAACCAAAAAGATAATTCAGAATTATTTCATATTTGATCTTCCATACAACAATAATTTGATATGAAAATAGCATTAAAAGTTTACATTTTTTTTAAGAACCTTTCAAACATTTTTATAAAATGTATCTGTCATTGGCAACCAGAATTTCAAAATCTCACGGGAGGGGGGAGTATTTTTCGACATTTTTCTTTTCAAATCTGAAAGAAAGTTTCCTTAAAATCAAATTGTGCAAACATCGGGTAACTGACAAACAAAAAAAAATTCCAGTTTTCTAAAATTTATTTGGTATATACTCATTAATGAATTGAAGATGTCATTTAAATCAGATAATTCAGAATTTTAATAAGTTTTTTTCAAAAAAGGGTTTGCGTTTTTTCTTTCCTTTTATGCTATTTTTTTGGTAAAAAATTTCGGTACCACCAAAATAGTGACAAAAATAAAATGTTCTTAAAAGTTTAGAACATTTTAGACTCTGAAAAACATTGAGGAAAAAAGTAAATAAAACTACGAACATTTTTTAATTATTTTTAAATCGTTTTCGGAGCCTGTAATCGAAACAAAAAAAACAATTATTTAAGATTGGGAATAAAGATAAAATTACTGGCCAAACGCAAAATGAATCGATATATCAAAAATACAGTAGTTTTTAATCCCCTGTGCATGCAGCTTTAAGGCTTACGCTTTTAACTCAAATGAGTGAAGCTTTAATACTCATTATAATGTACATTTATTCACAATTCAAGTTTTATAGGAATTGATCATAAAATTAATTCTCTACATGCTACATGCGTTACAGTTAAATTTTTTTTAAGCATGTTCAACTTAGTAAAACAAATGAATTCGAACTAGCGATTAGAATTATTTTTAAGAAAGTAAATTACATTTATAGAAAATGTTCAATACATTTCTGCTCTTGATCCAAGTTTCTTAATGCTAGAAGTTAAATTTTCAAACTATTAATTCGCAGATAAGACACGTGGGCACTTACAAAGAGAAAATAATAATAATAATAATAAAGCATACCCTTCGATATAACTACGTTTGGCGAGGTAATCATTCAAAGATTTGATACCGGATTCAGATTTTAAATCACCAAAACCCATTTTGGAATAATTTTTGTCCACGAAAACGAGACCAAAAATTATACGTGTATTTCCGATGAAATCAAGATGGCGAAGAGGCCGGTGTAAGTAGAACATGTCCTGCCTTTAACAATTGATATGGGAGTTAAAATATAATATATAAAATAAAATAAAATAAAATAAAATAAAATAAAATAAAATAAAATAAAATAAAATAAAAAATTTTATTTTTTAAAATTAGCTACTTAGAAAGTTCATGCTTTTTTTATGAAGATGTAAATTCGGTAAATTTGCTTTTTAAGACCCGCAAAGAAAATCTATTATAACTTTCCCAAGTTGTCATATTTCCGTGTAAATGTATATGCTGAACTTGAAAATAACGCCGGAATTTCGATAAAATCTACTGTTTTGAAGTTATCGACAATAAAAATTCGTACTCAGTCGTGTTCATTCATCCGCCATTACGGACCTTGTTTAACTACATTCACCGCGGAACACTTTACTGGCGGAGGCGTAATTAATCGCCTATTTAAAATTTTTTTTTACTTTTTTTTTTTTTTTAAATTAACAACTGTCGGAAAGCAATGTAATGTTGGAATGTCGGAAAGCAATGTAATGTTGGAATGTCGGAAAGCAATGTAATGTTGGAATGTCGGAAAGCAATGTAATGTTGGAATGTCGGAAAGTGGTAAATAAAGTTTTCTGTTTAAATTAAAAAAAAAAAAAAAAACGAATTAAATAATAAAATAAGGTAAATTCTCATTTTAACACCCGAAATAAATATCCTTCAAATTTTTTCCCAAATAGTCTTATTTCCGTGCAAATGTATATGATGAACTCAAATCAACAATTAGATATTAAAAAGAAACCTACCTTTTTGGATGTTAACGACCCGAAAAAAAATCGGACTTTTTTCTGGTCGTTCGTCGGAGAACATTATAACGTCTTATTGATATGTAATTCAGTGTTGAATTCTGTCGGTGGACGTATACAATTTTAATGATTTTTATCCCTTCACAAAATTCCTTGTAGTTTAACTTTCAAATTAGAGTTAGGTGTTTTGTTTTTTGGGTTATTCTTTTTTTTTTTTTAAAAAGAAAGTTAACTTTCAAATTAGGGTTAGGTGTTTTTTTTCTTTTGTTATTCTTTTATTGTCGATGTTTACATATATTTGAAAAATAACTTTATTCTTAAATTAAGTACAAAAAAATCGCTTTTTCAACGAAAAACTAATTTCTGAAAAAAATACTTCAGCAGTAAATGATGCTTTCAAAAAAATGAAAATTTGAAAAAATAAAGCTTTTCTTTCAGTTTAAAATAAAACAAATAATAATTAATTTCAGGTCGGGTTTGCACGAACTTTGAAAAAAACATGGTTTCTTCCTCAACCCTTAAACCCAATGCGCTCGAATTTCTAGAGTTTTTCATAAAATTAGTTATGGGGGTGTTAATAAATATAAAAATATATATTTCTGCCATGACTTTGATAAAAAAAAATAACATATTTATAATAATTTCGATCATCTGTGAATAGTTTCTGAAAGTTTCATTAACATCTGACAATTATTTTTATTTTTGCAAGATTTTCCAAATTAATGTGTGTAATACAAAAAAAACGCGCTAAAAATTATCTATGTTATTTACTACCCCTTGTTGCAACAAAGAGAAACAAGGTTTTTTTAATCAAAATTTAGAATGTTCTATAAAGAAGGAAAAATTTGAAAAAATAATTAAAAAAAAACTTGGTCTTTCCTCTTCATAAAAACATAAGCATTTAGACGATAAAATTTTGTTTTCATAAAGTTTGGCGTCTTTTTCATCAGACTATGCTCTATTTTTTAGCGATTTCGTGGAGCCCCAATCTCTAACCGTTGGAGTTAGGGTTTATCAAAATTTTGGGCGTTACTTTCGAGTTCAGCATACAGTTACCTGGAAATATGACGATTTGGGAAGGTTATATTTTCTTTGTGAGGCTTAAAAATCAAATTTACCGGAAATTCTATCCTTTTTGAACAATGACTGGTAAATGCAGGACTCTAAAATATATTTAAAACTGTAATAAATCCAGCTCCCCAATGATCGTTGCAGCACATTGTACATTTACGTCATTTTTTCTTTCTTTTTTTTTTGCGCTTAATTAGCCATGAGTGAATATTTCATTCATAAAAAATATGTTAATCATATATAATTATTCGAATAGAATCCATGGTTATTTAATTTTCGTAAAAATCTATAAGCTTTTTTTAAAAAAAAAAAAAAAAAATAGAAATAGGGAATTTATAGTAATTTTACCGGTTAAAAAGTTCAGAACTATACCGTGCGGCTTTGTGATGTAATTTTTTTGTTTCTTTTTATTATTATTTTTTAATAAAAAAAAAAAGTTTTTGTTTCGTGTCGTTATTTTATTTTCATAATCAGCCGTGGGTTTGGATTTGGAGATCAAAGATGAAAATAAAACCATTCCAAATGCAAATTGCTACTTGGTACAAATTTTAACAAAAAAAATAAAAACATGTCCGCTATTGAATATTTACCGAGCATCAACGTAAGTACAATGTGTCGATACACATATAAATTATAAATTCAATATTAAGATTTTCATTCGAAGTGTGCTAAATTACCAAAATTCAATTAATTTTATTTTGTCTGATTGAATACAACTGTAAAGAATTTAAAATTTTTCACTTAACTTATTTCTTTTTAAAAAAAGGAGCCACTAAACAAAAAAAATATTGGGAATTATTATTGTAATTTCAATTGTTTTTTGTTTGTTTTTTTTTTGTTTGTTTTTTTTTGTACGGTATTTTGCATGTGTTATAAAATAAAATAAGATATATCTCGGCTGATTTACAGGCTAATACTCAAGAGCGAGAACCGGATGTGAACGGGACAATTATACTCGCTTCATTTCTCAAGCCTGTTAAGCCATAAAAATCGCTATAAAATGGGTCACATGGAAGTTCAACAAGGCAAGTCCACAGGTGCCCAGGATAGAGACCTGTCACGTCCAGCTGCTGACAGCAGGGGAGGGTCAACCACCGTCAACATGTGTGAACTACTATGAGAGATCGACCAGATCCGAAAGCCGGCTTATGAACTTTACCACAAGTTTGCATGGGACGTGGGTTTTTAATATCGAATTTAATTTTTGTCACATAAACAGCTTTTATTAGCATTTGTTACAGGAAATTCCTATTCTCTATGAATTTTCTGTAATAGAACGGGTTTCTTATAGAAACCCGTTCTATTACAGAAAATTCCTAGAGAATAGGAAATTATCACCCTTGATTTAGAAACCAAATCTTTGATGTGCTGTATCCCTTTGTGGTGGACTTCACCACATCAATTTAACTTTAGATTAGGAAACAGGGCTGAAACAGAAAAGGATGAGCCAAACACATGGTTACACATAAAATATGTATTTAACAAGATGTGAAACAACGATGTGAAAGAAAGCATGCATTTAAGTAAGAAAAGGTTGAAATAAACAAGAGTTGTCTCTCTTTAACGTTATTTTAGTATTTCAAAGTTCACTGGAATAATGTTCATTAGAGTCTTATAATGACTGTTCTTAAAAAATTTGCCGTGTTAGAAAAGATTATGTGAGTATATACAAGGTATGTTCAGTGTGTGAGTGAGAAGGTTGGCGCATGGTTTCAATTGTCTTGGATTCGCTTGACAGCTGAATTCTCACTAATTAGCTACCTAAAATTCTTGCTTAAATAAGTGACTATAGGCTCCAGATCGCTGCGAGGGAATTATTCTTCACGTGCAGGCGATCATTGCTGCAATTTGTAAATTGTCTATAATAACGTAGTTCTGGTTAATTATCCAATGAATGCTTGGCGTTGTATGTGATTTGTATTTGTATGTATGTATGTATGTTCGTGCGTGATAGACTCGCGCACATTCATAATGTGGGCGGTCACAGCTTTCTACAATTTTCCGTTGACGTTCTTTAGATGACTCGCTGTTTTTCCCAAAGATTTTTCTCTTTCATCATAATTCTTCTTGTACCATTGTCTCTTGTCTTTCGGTATGTGGACTTCATACCTCTTGTGTCCCTAAAAAAAAAAACAATTATGATAAAATGATTATAACAATTATAATTATCATTAATTCTAAGCCAATGAAAATCGACCCCACTTTTTTCCTGTACAATAAAACACACAAACACGTGACATTCTCACTATCTAACAAGCAGTCAACACGGACAGGGCATCAATATGTGCGCCAGCGAAAACTTTGGTTCCTTTGCCCTTTCCCGGTCAAAATAGTTTTAACTGTTATCAAAATTCAAGGTGAGAAAACCCCAGAGACTTCTTGTATTTTTCGACTAAATTATCTGGACACTCATTACACACATCTATTAAAAAAAAACATACGAGAAAGATTGTATACTTTTATGTTATCATTCTATCGCACCCGGCCGGAAGTTACTGCCGGCTACTCAAACATCTAAAAGCGTCACCGCGGAAAACATAACGAATGCCGTTAACTTCCGGTGACTAAGCGTTTTTCAGTCAACGTCTCACACAAACTAAGAAAAAACGAAACATTTACATATACTAACTTTCCTAACCAAAAACAATTACCAGAAACTACTTTATATACACATGGTGTCCGAATGGAACCTATGTGTACAGCCAAAAAGTAGAAGGTAATTTTCAGTCATCACCCCAAATATATCGCTGACAGGCTACGTTGCCGACCTCAGCCTATATATACACAGCGGTTTTTGGCCTCGGGGTTGAGCGACGAGCTCCCCCCTCTCACCTACGCTGACCACACGAAGCAGCAGCCAAGGCCAGCAGACATCAGCAGCAGCTAGAGCCAGCAGAGCAGCCCGGCCTCCTCATCCTCATCATCATCAGCAGCAGCAGCTAGAGCCAGCAGAGCAGTCCGGCCTCCTCATCAGCAGCAGACATCAGCAGCAGCAGCTAGAGCCAGCAGAGCAGTCCGGCCTCCTCATCAGCAGCAGACATCAGCAGCAGCAGCTAGAGCCAGCAGAGCAGTCCAGCTTCATCGTCAGCAGCAGCGACGCAGATATCAGCAGCAGCCTATCCTCGGTTACATGATATGCACTAGCCTATCCTCGGTTACATGATATGCAATAGTCTGCCCTCGATTACATAATATGCAATAGTCCTTTTCAGGACTAACCTAGCCGCGTCCTTTTATTAGGACTACCAAGCTGCGATCCTGCACGACAGTCCACCCAAGGACGAACTGACTACACCACAGCACTGTCCGCGTCGATCCTCTCTCTCTGCAAGCGCCGACGCACCCTTTACTCAAGTACAGACATCCAGGGATCGACTGGACCTCGGACATCCCTGTTTCCATTCGGCCTACCTCCAAGCTGTCGCCTTGAAACCTGACAACGCTCCTTCAAGACTACACGACCGAACTACTACAAACGATTATCTGTATATATTCGTGCCAGATTTATTTAATAAAATTTGGCTTAAACTTTTACATCCTCGTTTTTGTTGTCCTTGCTTCGATCGTATTATCTTATATTATTTTTCCGTTTGCGGGGTTAACAGTCAACCTGCTTAGCGCCGCAACAAGTGGTGACCCCGATATTTACGATCGAGCAAGATGGCAACTGACGAGTGGGAACAGAACACTCTCATAAATGTGGCAATGCCACTCACAAACCTCCCTCCGTACAACGAGCAGAACACCAAGAACTGGTTTTTACAGCTGGAAGCCATTTTCTCGGTACGGAGAATAACATCACAACAAGCAAAATTCGCCAACGTGGTACAAGTTTTGCCACCTTCAGTTGTCGACGAAGTAGCCGACATCTTGGAACACGTACCCGAGCAGGAGCCATATACTCGCCTCAAGGATGCTATTCTGAAACGAACCGGCCGTTCGGACGAGGAACTGCTCCGGGAACTTTTTACCCACGTCACCAGGGGCGACAGAACACCCTCACAGCTTCTACGCTTCATGAGGAGCCGACTGGGGAAACATTCCATGGCCGAATCAATCTTGCGCGAACTGTGGATGGACAAGTTACCCACTACCATAACGCAGATATTGGCACCAATCGCTGATAACACTCCACTGGACCAGTTAGCAAACTCCGCTGACCGCATCGCAACTAAACTGGACCAAGGAGTGTGTGCCGTGCAGCGCCCAGACGACACATCAGCCAAAGAAACGGACCTGGAAAAGGCAGTAGCTGACCTGCAGCATCAGCTGCAGGATATACGAATGCTCCTTTCCCGCACATCGAGAGGCCCGATGCCGGCGACCGGCGGTTGGCGACGGAGAGCACGGAGTACCAGCAGGGGTCGACGAGTCGACCCGGAATTATGCTGGTACCATCACAGATTCGGCACCAGGGCAAAGAATTGCTCGGCACCCTGCAAATACAGCTCCAAAACCAAGTCGGAAAACTAAACAGCCGGCGGGTAGGGCGGCAGAACCCCCGGCAAAAAACATACGAAGCCGCCTTTTCTACGTATGGGACCGACGGAACAACATAAAGTTTTTAGTGGACACGGGAGCAGCTATCAGCGTTATACCCCCAAAGAACAGCAAGACCGAAAGGCGACCCCGTATAAACTCCAGGCAGCAAACGGCTCGACGATCGAGACATATGGAGCCAAGACACTGACTCTGAACATCGGTATGCGGCGCGATTTTACATGGACTTTCACCCAGGCAGACGTAAAAACGCCAATACTCGGTGCAGATTTCCTGGCCCATTATGATCTAGCCGTGCACATGAATACGAGAACTTTATCAGACAATACCACGAACATTGCTGTTAAAGGCACCCTCTCTCGACACAACACCACTGGAATCAGTGTGACAACTTGCCACGGACGAGAGTACATCGAGATCCTAAACAGATACTCGGACCTCATTCAACCACTCGCAGGTACCGGTCCGGCAAGACACCAAACACAGCACCATATAAAGACCAGTGGACAGCCAACATTTTCCCACCCACGACGACTTCCTCCTCATAAGCTGGAATACGCCCAAAAGGAGTTTAACAATATGCTAAAGGACGGATTCATACGACCCTCCGATAGCCCATACGCATCACCCCTACATCTCGTACCTAAGCCGGGAAGCACAGACTTTAGGGTATGCGTCGATTATAGAAGATTAAACGCTACAACCATACCCGATCGCTATCCGGTCCCGCATATTCACGATTTCGCCTCAGGGTTGCAGGGCACTCGCGTCTTTTCGAAGATAGACCTAACTAAGGCCTACCACCAGATCCCCATAGCTCCGGAGGACATTCCAAAGACAGCCGTAACCACTCCCTTTGGTCTCTTTGAATACCTCAAGATGCCCTTTGGCCTGAGGAATGCTGCACAAACGTTCCAACGCTTCATAGATGAGGTACTGCGCGGCTTAACGTACGCGTATGCCTACATCGACGACATACTGGTAGCCAGCATAGATGAGAACACACACAAAAAACATCTAAACGAAGTGTTCCAAAGAATAGCACTTTATGGACTCCGGCTGAACATGGACAAATGCACTTTCGGGGCATCTGAGGTGAACTTCTTAGGCCATCATATCGACAAAGATGGTATCACACCATTACCCGAGAAAATCGACGCGATTAAAAACTTCCCTACGCCTGCATCCACAAAACAAATCAGACGATTTATCGGTATGATAAATTTTTACCGCAGGTTCATCCCCGACTGCTCGACAATTCTCTCCCCGTTAACAAACATCATAGAGCGGAAGAACAAACAAATTACCCTAGAGGGAGATACCTTGCGGGCTTTCGAAACGGCAAAGACAGCGCTGATAAACTTCACAAAACTCTCATTCATCGAAAACGACCCGGAAACAAGAATTTTCCTTACAACAGATGCTTCCGACGTTGGAATAGGAGCAGTAGTGGAGCAGCAAGTGAACATGACGAGACAGCCGATAGCCTTCTTCTCAGCTAAACTCTCTGCAGCCCAGAGAAGATACAGTACCTTCTCACGAGAACTCCTGGCGATCTACCTGTCCATACGTCATTTTCGACATCTTCTGGAAGGCAGACATTTCACTATCTTCACGGATCACAAACCACTGACCAACGCGATGAATGTCAGCGCAGACAAGTATACATCCCGTGAAACACGTCACCTCGACTACATCTCACAGTTTACGACGGACATCAGACACGTCCAAGGAAAGAACAACACCGTCGCAGACACATTGTCCAGAACAGACGTCAATACCATGGATAACGACGTTTGGAGCCAGGAGCTGATAGCCGACAAACAAAAAGACGATACGACGATACCTGACATCATTAAGGAGACTTCTTTGAAACTGCAGGAATTCCCGTGTCCGTTCAGCGATAAAACTCTTTTCTGTGACACCGCACTGGATACTCCGAGACCGTACATTCCTCCATCTCTTAGAAAAAAAAGTATTTCTCCATCTCCACAATCTATCCCATCCGAGCAAGCGAGCAACCGTCAAGCTTATCGCCGATCGATTTGTGTGGCCCAACATGAATTCAGACATTAGGAATTGGGTCTCAACCTGCATACAATGTCAAAATGCAAAATTCAGAGGCACACAAAATCACCAGTTGGAACATTCGCCACACCGACGCACGTTTCAGCCACATCCACGTTGACCTCGTCGGGCCTCTACCAATGTGCCAGGGGTACCAATACCTTCTAACAATCATAGACCGTTTTTCGAGATGGCCAGTCGCTGTGCCGATTAAGGACATTTCCGCTACCACAGTTTCTAAAGCCATTCTCACCAACTGGATTACAAACTTTGGCGTACCACAAGTTCTCACTACAGATCGGGGACCACAATTTCAGTCCTCGCTTTTCCGAGAATTCTCTCAACTTTTGGGTGTCAGACACATTAAAACGACGGCTTACCATCCTTGCGCAAACGGCCTCGTGGAGAGATTTCACCGATCCTTAAAGACGTCCCTGTCAACCAAACTCGACATACACAACTGGGTCGACAACCTCCCCATGACCATGCTCTCTTTGCGGAATACCCTCAAAACGGATTTAGGGTGTTCGACAGCAGAGCTCGTGTTTGGCACGCCTCTCTCCTTACCAGGGCAATATTTTCACCTTCCGCAGTACTCTTGCACATCCACACCAAGTTCTTTCGTGCAAGATCTGCGCCACAAAATGGACAAACTTACATACACTCCCCACGAAAACAAACCACAAGCTCCTACTTACCACAGAAATTGGATACCTGCGATTTTGTTTTTTGTTAGGAACGACGCCGTAAAAAAAACCTCTCACACCTAGCTACCAAGGCCCTTTTAAAGTTCTGAAGCGTTCTAAGAAATTTGTCACGATCATGCGCGGCAAAAACAAAGATACAGTCTCCATCGACCGACTTAAACCAGCTTGGTTAGAGGAAACTTCTCCCGAGCCAGACTTACCAACAACGACGGAAGATGAAACAACAACACCAGTCGTACGAACAAAATCAGGCAGAAGAGTTCATTTTCCTGCCAAACTAAAGACTTACATTCTTTTTGTGAATTGATCACGATCAATCCTCTAGGAAGGGGGCCTTATCGCACCCGGCCGGAAGTTACTGCCGGCTACTCAAACATCTAAAAGCGTCACCGCGGAAAACATAACGAATGCCGTTAACTTCCGGTGACTAAGCGTTTTTCAGTCAACGTCTCACACAAACTAAGAAAAAACGAAACATTTACATATACTAACTTTCCTAACCAAAAACAATTACCAGAAACTACTTTATATAACTGTCCGAATGGAATCCATTTATATACACATGGTGTCCGAATGGAACCCATGTGTTGCCGACCTCAGCCAAAAAGTTTTTCCAGAAGGTAATTTTCAGTCATCACCCCAAATATATCGCTGACCTGTTGGACAAGTTATGACAGGCTACGTTGCCGACCTCAGCCTATATATACACAGCAGGGGTTTTTCCGGCCTCGGGGTTCAGCGACGACAGCTCCCCTCTCACCTACGACCAGCCTGACCACACACAGCAAGAAGCAGCAGCCAAGGCCAGCAGACATCAGCAGCAGCTAGAGCCAGCAGAGCAGTCCGGCCTCCTCATCAGCATCAGCAGCAGCCAAGGCCAGCAGACATCAGCAGCAGCCAAGGCCAGCAGACATCAGCAGCAGCAGCTAGAGCCAGCAGAGCAGTCCAGCTTCATCGTCAGCAGCAGCGACGCAGATATCAGCAGCAGCCTATCCTCGGCTACATGATATGCACGTCTATCCTCGGTTACATGATATGCACTAGCCTATCCTCGGTTACATGATATGCAATAGTCTGCCCTCGATTACATAATATGCAATAGTCCTTTTCAGGACCTCGGTTACATAACCAATAGCCGCGTCCTTTTATTAGGACTACCAACTACCAAGCTGCGATCCTGCACGACAGTCCACCCAAGGACGAACTGACTACACCACAGCACTGTCCGCGTCGATCCTCTCTCTCTGCAAGCGCCGACGCACCCTTTACTCAAGTACAGACATCCAGGGATCGACTGGACCTCGGACATCCCTGTTTCCATTCGGCCTACCTCCAAGCTGTCGCCTTGAAACCTGACAACGCTCCTTCAAGACTACACGACCGAACTACTACAAACGATTATCTGTATATATTCGTGCCAGATTTATTTAATAAAATTTGGCTTAAACTTTTACATCCTCGTTTTTGTTGTCCTTGCTTCGATCGTATTACCTTATATTATTTTTCCGTTTGCGGGGTTAACAGTCAACCTGCTTAGCGCCGCAACAATTCTGTCGGATTCCGAACCATATTTTTTCTACATTTGACCCCAAACTCACAATTTTACCCAGTAGGTTTCAAATCTTCTAATTAGGGGAAAATAAGCCAATGGATGAGTTTTTGCTTTTCAATCCATTTTCCAGAACATTTGATTTTTATTACCCTTAGACAGAAATAGCGTCACAATAAAGAGGTTCAAAATCAAGGCCCATCAAGAAAATTCCAGACCGTACATCTCACTGGCTATGAATATCTTCGCTCTTACTTTTAAGTAATGGTAGAGGACACTTTTTTTTTTTTGTTTCTTGTTTTTTTTCACGTAAAATTTTATACTTCTTCTACTATTCATTTAAAAAAAAATCCTTCGTTTTTTTCGGAATGAACGGACGTCTTTTACATCGTTCCAAGAAAGCGGCGTGCTTTTAAATAAAAATAAAAGAAGTGATATTCATTTCTTTATATATCCATTATTATATTTTTTTTTTACTTCCCATTTATAAGAACAGGGATTTCATTTATTCATTTATTATTATTTATTAATAGATATAATTAAACAAACACGCCCCAATTCCACGCTAGTAACTTAAAAAGGCTGACTGAGAATCAGTGGCGGCTCGTTTATAGGCAATGCAGAACTGCAGCACATACACCTACTCGATATAATAGATAACATTCAATATAATGAGTCTTTTTTTCATTTAATTCTTTTTTTTATATTTTTATATTATATAATCCTTAAGCTTAATGTCAGTAGCCATTCTCTCGTTTATGAAAAATTTGCAAAAATCCTTGTATGGAACTGTGTGCTTCACAGGTCCAGTGATGCAGTGCTTGGCTGTTGTGTGCATGCGCACGTGTCCAAGGAAATATACTGAACAATGGTTATAGAAAGCACTGTTGCTTACGCAGTACCGACCCTGTTGTCCGAGTACCATGTACCATATCCTTGACTATGATAAACTGTAGATGACTATCATACTTCCGGCTAAACTATTTCATTCATTGTTGTATTTTTCGGTTGTTTTATTGTGCAGAAAATTTTAATAATTTTTAAACATGGCCTCCTTGAATTCCCAAGAAATAAGTTATGTGACACTGTCGGAGTTACCTCCTCTTTCGCTCCTTAAACTAAGAGAACAGGTCATTTCGACCTTGACCTCTCGGTTGTGCTCCCTATACACTGTTAACCCGTGGTAGAGACTAGCAAGTTACCTCTTCAGTTTACTAATATTACAAACCTAGTTGTAATATACTTCTAGAAATTTTTAGGCCTTAGTTTCCTTTAGCTAATCTCGACTTATTTTTTTATAGAGACTTTACTGTTAGATTACCCAATTCTCTCGCTGGTCTCCCTTACCACAAGATAGTCCCCGACATCCGAGTCGTGGAAACGGAGAACTCCACCTTAAAAAAACTAAGAAACTTTTGTGCTGGGAGGGTCCCCGTGTTGCTCCATCCCTCCTTATATAGGGCGGTAAAACTAACGTACCCCACGGGCGTCGGCGGGATTGTTCTGGACGGTCGTATGACGACCGAATTAGAAACCTAGGACAGGCCGTCGGAGTCCTTACCAGCGCAGATTTCCGTGAGTAGGCTTTTTGCATGTTTTTCTTTTTTGCACGCCTAAACCATGTCTATCAAGATAGCGACGCTGAATGTGAATGGCTTGAGGGATCGGGGTAAGGCGGCCCGCCTGCTCCGGGATCTCCTGTCGTTCGGCGTGGATGTCGCCGCGATCGAAGAGACCCACTTTGTTTGCAGTTCCGATGCGTGTGTGCTGTCTAACGACTTTGTCGTCTATTCAGCATATGGGGACCGAGCTGCCAGAGGAGTGTCTTTGCTGGTGAAGCGGACTCTAGATGCGAAGGTGGACCTTGTGCATACCGATGCCGAGGGACGGTTGATCGTGGCCGATATTGCCGTGAAAAGTGGTTCGTTTCGGGTCGTTGCGGTTTATGCGCCCAACGACCAGGAGGAGCGGGTTTCGTTTTTTCGGCGGTTGGAGCCTTTCCTGGTGGATTCGAAGCGCTTAGTTCTAATGGGGGACTGGAATGCCGTCCTGGACCCCAAGCTAGATCGAAGGCGGGGTGCTAGCGGGAGAGAGGGCGATCGTAGCCTGGTCGATCTGATCAAAGATTTCGGTCTCGTTGATAGATACCGGACCGATCACCCCGGGGGGAAAATGTGGACGTGGGCTCTTAGCTGGCCTTGTGACAAGGTGGTTAGCTACCTGACAGAATGTTAGTGAGAAGAGCCGACACAGATTTGTTAGATTGCCCCATGTTCCACTGGGTAGGCTATACGGACCACAAACTCGTTTGTGCCCGTGTGGCGTTAGAACATAGGCCTAGAATGGCTGGGTACTGGAAGTTCAATCTGTCTTTACTGGACAGGCGGGACTTCCGGGAGAAGCTGACTAGCTTAGTGCAGCGGGAGCTAGTGGGGGCGGTTATCGGGAATAGGTAGTGGGACAGACTTAAATGTAGAATTAGGTCCTTCACCACTGATTTCAGCAAACGGCTCGCCCTAGATAGAGCTGATAAGATGAGGACACTTAAAGCTAGTCATTCCCGGGCCGTGGCGGGGGGGGGGGATCCCCTAGAGATAGCCGTAGCGGAGCGTTTGAATAGCGAGCGCTACATGGGCCAGGTAATTAGACATAGGTTAAGCAAGATGTCTTCCGAAGCCGTGAATATAGGCGCAGATCTGCGCAGGGAAGCCTCCTGTATCGCTCCCCCAGTGCTGTGGTACAGGTGAACGGAAAGCTGTCGGGCGCTTTTGCGCTGTCTAGGTCGGTTCGTCAGGGTTGCCCTCTGTCGTTCCTACTTTACGCTTTGGCATTGGAGCCTCTCCTTCGCCGGCTGAGGGACAGGGCGTGCAGGCCGGCCCTACGCGGAATCGCCGTTCTTGGCGGGGCTCGAGCCAGGGTTTCCGCGTACGCCGATGACGTATCTGCTTTCGTGTCGTCCCGCAGAGGCATTGAGGCAATACAGAAGGCGCTTGATCGGTACGAATAGGTGACAGGGGCCGATTAACCGCGACAAGTCGTCCGGCTTGCGGCTAGGTGCCTGGAAGGGGGTCGATCTTCCGGGGCCCTTCGGTTGGACGGACGGTCCTGTCCGCATTCTCGGAGTGTGGTTTGGACCCGACCTCCAGCTGGAGAAGAATTGGTCTGAAGTACGAGCAAAGGTCGACGCCGCCGGTCAGACTTGGCGTCGACAGAGGTTGTCCGTGAAGGGCAGGGCGGAGGTGTGTGCTACATACATTTTCCCTCTTGTCCTTTATCGATTGTCCGTACTTCCTCTCTGTGACAACCACAGGAAACCGCTCGAGCGCTCGCTAACCTCCATTCTATGGAGGAGACGCGGGGATCGGGTCGACAGAGAAGTCTGTGCACAGCGTCCGTATCATGTGGGGGGGGGCTGGGAATGCCACACTTGCTGAGCCACAAACGTGCCTCGAGGTTGGCTATCCTACGCGCGCATTGGCAGGAGATTCGGTCATGGCGGGGATTGTTAGGGACGCGTTCCCTTCCCTTACTATCAATCCCCCCATCTCGCGGGCTGAGTGCCATTGTAGGCCCCGGGAGGAATCGGATTTCATTCGAGAGTGTCGGTTGGCCTTGCTGGCCGTCTCTCGGTCCAGTGACCTTTCTCGGCCTAGGAAGGACTTCTATCGTTTGCTAGTGGAGGGGGTCGCGAAGGATCCCCTACGCGAGGATCTCGACATGTCAGAGGATGAGTTTCGCTCTCACTGGTCTTGGGCGCCAGCGGCGGATTACCTCAGTAACCCTGAGTTTTTGCTTACCTGGCGACTGGCTCGGAATCGGCTGCCTCTCAATGACAGAGCCTTCATATGGGGCTTGGCGGACTTTCCAGGCTACGAACGGTGTGGCCTTGGTCTAGAGGAAACGGCTTCGCACGCCTTCTACCATTGCCCCCGGGTCCGCCCCTTGTCGACCATGTCGGCGAGCTGACGGCTCGTCTCGCTCCCGAAAAGCTTGTGCCCATGGATCGCGCATACGCGTGTGACAATGTGTCGCCCCCGTGAAACGGATGGTGTTTCTCACGCTGCTAGCCACGGCCCGAATGGTGATATAGACGACGCGAGAGGAGGAAGTCTTGCGGGGTATCAGGATCTGATCCGATTCTTTGAGCATCAGCTCAAGATGAAGATTAGAATTGATAGGAAACGCTTGCATTCGACAGTCTTCAGCGAAAGGTGGGTGACTGAGGCGAGCTTGGTTCGTATGAACGGGGCTAGCCTTGATTTTCTCTTTTAGGTCAAGCCCACGTTACATCGGGGTGGCTTCCTGTGGTGCCCTCCCCTTGGTTAGGTTAGACAAGCTTTGGTGTACCTAGTTAATGCGAGTAAGTGTTGTTCCCGGCCTGCCCCCCGGCCACATCTTTAGTTATGATCCAGCCTGAGATTCCCAACCTCCCCAGTTTGTTTTTTGCCCCCCCCCACACTTTCTATCTCGACTGGGTCAGCTTTATACTTCCCCATGCCCGTATGATTTTTTTATCACCTTTCCCACACCCTTTGCGAGAGAGCTGCTTGATTTTGTTCCAATGGGCAGAATACAGTTGTCTCCCTGCCTTTTGAGGGTTGGACGGGCCCTACTAACATCAGTTAACGTTTAATTTCATTTATGTTAATATTTTAGTTCGTTATTGGGTTCATCTCCCCCACCTCTCATTTTTTTCATCTTAATTTTGTACATATGTGTTAGGATCATTAAATTATTATGACACGGGGCGCGTTTTGTAGGGCTCCCTAGAGTGGATGTGGTATTATGGTGCATGGAGGATTGATTGGTGACGGACGAGTTCTTATGGTGAATGAGTAAATTGTAATGTCTGAATGGGTCGTGAATCAAATTAGCCTGCACCGGAACATCTGCATCTCTACCGTTCCGACCACCTTTATTTCTTTTTCTAGAATAAATTAGCATATATCATATATATCCTCGTTCTGTCGTCTATATTGTTACACCTT